ACTTGAAATTCATTACAGAAACGAGCATCATAGAAAAATAACTAGGAGAAAGTTTTATAGTCACTGTTTATATATAATGATGAATATTCTCGAATGAATGTTCATTTCTAGACATCACTGAAAGCATGATTAACATCATCTTCTATTTTGTGATTATAAAAAAAAACAATATAATTGTAGAAACTTTGATGTGCATGTTGACAAATCTATTCTCTGCATCTTCGTAACTCTTCTCATTGGGATACCAAGGTCTAGTACAGGTTTTTCCTTCACTAACTTGCCAGAGTAATGCACGCGAGGAAAAGTGATGTTGAATTATAAATTAAATTGAAAAAGGATCTGTTAGATAATGAATCTCAACTTGATTATATCTCGTTCACAATTTGAAGAATCTACAAGCTTTTTCTAAGATGTATTCAAAGTATCGACTATGATTTTGAAGCTGCTATAGTTTTATCTTGTAATATCTGACTTAGCATTGATCGATAATCTCAATAAGCGGTATGCCATAAGATCCTTAACTTTTGTTAAGAATTGTGAATGATTAAGAAAAACGTAGCAGAAAAAAACTGTAGCAGACTTATTTTTAAGATTCAGCAGAAATGAGTTATTTTATTACGGATCTAGAAATCTAAGTAATAGTTAATAAATGACGATATGATTTTTCTTCACGTAAACAGTCGAAACAGAAGTATTGTAATACTTTTCATTTAGTTACTACAACAGATAAATTCTCATCAAAATATTTCATTCTTGGAGTAATAGTAACCACATATTTTCGCATCTCATTGTATGCATACTAGCAACATTAGCTTTGATAATGGTCACTTGAAACGACAGAAATGCGCATATGATGTGTTCTATCGGTCAGATATCCGCTATCGAGTGCTGATACGTGTAGGGTGTGAGTGTGGGTACAATCGGTTATTCGTTTCATATATATCACGCACCCAACCACCCACATCCTCACGATGATATTCGGTTCTGATGCCAAATTCACGAAAAAAACAGCGAAAAAACGATGTCTGAAAGTTGAATAAAACGCAAGAATAGCTCAGCACTTTTTGTATAAAACCTTCAATTTATACAGGATAAGTAAGATGTAATTATTGAGTTTTTCTCTTTTCGAACAAGAAAGCATTAATCACTTGATTTCTTTGATTTTATGTACAAGCAAGTAATAGCGTCCGTCTGTTAATTCCAACACTTTGTTAAAGCTAGTATTTCAGATTTTGTTCGAATACACTATATGTCAGCAACGATTTCAATCGAGTTTATAGCATTAGAAATCAATTTATCGAAAAATTGAAGGGCAACACGTGTCCTCCACAGGGTCTTTTATAGAAAGCTCTTTTTTTTGCAAATATTAAATTGAAAAAAGTCGTGTATGTGTATATGTGGTCTAAGTTTTGTCATTCTCTTTTCTGGTATCGACATATTGAGTCACAGCCACAAACTCACGTCCATACCCACACAAGTACATTCATACCCTATACAGCTGACTTCTTTTAAATCGAGTTTCAAAAAGTAACCGAGATTAACAAGTTTTTCAAAGGAGTTGACGAAAAAGTTATTTAAAATAAATGAGAACGATGTATGCTTTTACTTCCGAAGAACACTAACAGGTCTTTGACAAAACGTCTATTGTGCTGTATCCACTGTTGCAGACAAAAATGTCAGTCGTATTATGTATGTTCAAATCACCGAAGGCCATTGCAGCCGGATGTGCGCCGAAGCCAGTTGTGAAAAACATTGGACTTGCAAAACTTCCATTCCCGTAGCCAAGCAAAATGGCAATGTTGTTGGTGCCATAATTAGCGACTGCAAGATCAAGCGCAGTATCATTATCAAAGAGACCTATAGTCAGTGACCGTAGTGAAGAGAAATCTTTAATCAAATATGTCGTTAGACTAGAGAAAGTGCCATTCCAATTTCCAAGAAAAATTCCAATACTATTCGTGCCAGAGTTGATAATAGCGATATCTAGTTGATGATCTTGGTTGAAATCACCAACGGCGACAGAATTCGGATAAGAATTATTACCAGTTGAATAATTTGCTTGACTTGTGAATGTACCATATCCAGATCCATAGAGTATAATTAGTTCATTGGTTCCTTGATCGGCGATGGCAACATCCAAAAGAGTATCCTTATTAAAATCCCCTACGGCTATGCTTACTGGTTCAGAAGACTTTCCAATTTGATAAGCTTCTGTAGCAAGTAAACTCCCACTAGCATATCCAAGAAATACACCTATATTATCTTTCAGTGGATCGGAATATGCGATGTCGAGCCGACCATCGTTATTGAAGTCACCAACGGCAACCCCATCTGGATTTGAATTATCGCCCGTAGCATGGGTAATTTGGTTGAAAAAAGTACCATTGATATGTCCAATAAGAATGCCTACAGAACCACTGCCATAATTAGCAATAGCGATATCTAGTCGATCATCTTTATTAAAATCTTCGACAGCTAGAGACCACGGACTAGATTTAAGGCCGGTGGGATAAGCTGTTTGATTTGAAAAACTGCCATTGCCATATCCAAGGAAAATACCAACATTGTATGCATATTGATTGGCAACGGCGACATCGAGTTGACCGTCGTTGTTGAAATCTCCGACGGCGACCCCATTCGGATGAGAACTAATACCAGTTGAATAAGTCATTTGATTTGAAAAATTGCCATCACCATATCCTAGAAAAACAGCTATTCTATTAGTGGAAAAATAAGCAACGACGAAATCTAGCCGATCATCGTTGTTGAAATCGCCCACTGCGAGTCCATACGCAGCGGAATTACCACTATTTGGATAGATCGATATATTTCCGAAAGTCCCATTTCCATATCCAAGAAGAACAGTTACAGAATTATCGTAATAATTGGTAGCGACAAGATCGAGTCGACCATCACCGTTGAAATCCCCAACTGCTACTGTTCCTGTGGGAAGAACTCCATGTGTCATTTGAATTTGAAAAGAGTGATTACCATTTCCAAGAAGTACAATAATTGGTGATGGTGATATATTATTAGCAACGACGACATCGAGTCGTTTGTCATTGTTGAAATCACCGACGTCGACCCCAATTGGATAGATACCTTCGCCAACAGAGACGATAATTTGATTGGAGAAATCGCCATTGCCCAGTCCAAAAAAGAAACCTATATTTGCATCGCCATTATTGGCAACAGTGATATCGAGTCGACCATCTGTGTCAAAATCTCCAACTGCTAACGCATGGGGCTTCCAACCAGATCCAGTTGGAAAGATTCTCACACTTTCAAAATCCACACTGTCAACATTGAGAAGTACACCAACACTTCCAGTACCAGAATGGGCAACAACAATATCTTCTCGATAGTCGTTGTTGAAATCACCAATAGCGATCGATTGAGGATTAGAACCCATACCGGTTGAATAGGTTGTATAATTTACAAAGGTTACATTTTCCTCGCCAAAAAAAAGACATACGTCGTCTCCTACCGAATTAGCGACGGCGATATCCAGACGACTGTCATTATTGAAATCACTGACGACAATGCATACAGGATAAAACGTAAAATCTGATGAGAAAACAGTCTTCATTGAAAAGCTTCCATTTTTATCTCTAAAAAGTACATCAATGCTGTGCGTACCATCGTTGCCAACGATGACATCAATTTGACCATTGTTGGTTAAGTCACCGGTAGCAATAGCTCCAGGACGTGCAGCAGATCCAGTAGAACATGTAGCTTTATACTCAAAGCTTGTATTAATGAACGCAAGAAAAACACAAACAGTAAATGTGTAATAATTTGCAGCGGCTATATCAGTTAGATTGTCTTCATTGAAGTCGTCCGCAACAATTGATATTGGACCGAAACCATCTCCAGCTGCATATATCATTTGATTTGAGAATGTTCCATCGCCATAACCGAGAAAAATCCCTATGTTGTCAGTACCTCTGTTTGCAACTGCAATATCAAGTTGGCTGTCGTCATTAAAATAACCAATGACTATCGAGGAAGGTGCGGATTGAACTCCAGTTTCGTATCTTCCATTGCTTGAGAAATTCCCATGTCCATTTCCCAGTAATATCAAGATAAGTTCTTCCATAGGGGCTGCATTGACAACTGCTATATCTAGGATGCCATCGCTATTGAAATCACTTACCGCGAGTGCTTTAGGATTAGAGTAAGCTCCAGTTGGAATACTCGTCATATTTGTGAAACTGCCATTACCATGCCCAAAAAAAACACCCACTTTGTTCCCGAAATAATTGGCAACGGCGATATCCAGCCGACTATCGTTGTTGAAATCACCTGTAGCGAGTGATATCGGATAAGAACGCTCATAAGTTGAATAGGTTAACTGACTTGCAAAACTACCATTCCCATAACCAAGAAAAACGCCTACATTGCTTGTGGCATAATTGGCCACGGCGAAATCCAGGCGACTAGATATCGCGGTCGCCACTTCCGCTCCAGACAAGAGAGGTGTGCTG